CCCCCCCCCCCCCCCCCCCCCCCCCGATTCCTCAAGGACGGCACGGACGCTTTCGACCTGGGAGGCAGCGATGGCAACCCCGCCCCTTCCCCTTCTTCCGTGGGAGGGACGACGACGACCCCCTCCGGCAGCGCGCTCGGCGTCGGCGGTAGCTTCGGCTGGAAGTTCGCCTCCTCCTCCTCCTCCTCCGCCACCGCGAAAGCCTCCTCGGCCTCCTCGCCTGGAAATCCGATGGACGTGGACGTCGGTGGTGGCGTGCGAGCCTCTGGAATCGCTACAACAAAGAACGGGCTGGATTCGCCAATTCCCTCTTCTGTGCTACCGCAAGCTTCTTTTGCCGGTTCGGCGGACTCGACTGCAGCGGCGGCGTTGTCATCAGTAAGCGGGAGTAAGATGTCGACGGGTGCCGCGGTGGTGCCAGCGTCGGGTGGAGGTGCGTGCCGCGTGGTTCTTGTTGGCGCTCTGTGATTGATTTGGGCATGTTTTTTGGCCTTGCTGTCGCCCTGCTTCATTGACCAGCTTTGGTGTGTGTGTGTTTTTGTGTCGCGCCGTTGTTGTTGTTGTCGTCGTACGGGAGTGGTTACTCTCTCTCTGTCTGTCTCTCTCGCTCTCTCGCTCTCTGGTATCTGTCTATCTGGTATCTGCCTCTCTCAAACGAATCAAGTGTCCTGTAGTTTATTGTTCTTTTTCTCCATGCGTGGCGTGGGCCCACCCCCACTCGCTCTCACAACTAGTACGTTACACGTCGTTTTCGTGTCACGCGCCGCCACAGCATGGTCGAGAGTCGCAAACGCCGCCTCCCCGGAGATGGACAATGCAGGAGGGAAGACTGTTTCGACAGGCGGCGCCAAGGGTTCGCCACCGACCCCGTCCGTGGTCGGCGCTGGCGGCTCGACGCCTGCCGCTGCGGGCGGTAAACCCCGCTTGGACTGGGGCATGGGAGCCGTTTCTGCGGGCTTCGTGCCCTCTTATTCCGCGGAGGTGACGTGGTTGTTTTCGGTCTGTGAACGAGGAGGGTCGTGCATGCGAGGGATTGAGCTTGCTGTTGGAAAATGAAGCGCTCGGAGCGTAGTAGCGACCCCCTCTCTCTCGCTGTCTCGCAACATCGTCTCTGGTGGTCGTTATGCTTTTTCGGCCGAGAGATGAAACACCCCCGCCGCCGACGTTGCGCTACTCGAAGCAGAGCCGCCGCCAACGAGGAGTCTGTAATTTCGGGCGGAGGGTTTGTGTTGGCCGTGAGCTACTGCTGTAGTGTAGCGGAGGCTGGCCGGTGTGGTCCTGTCGTTTTACATTTTCTGTTTCTTTTTCTCTTTCGAACCGAAACAGGCGGCGTCCTCCCCCCAGACGACGTCCGCGGTGGCGGTGTTAGCTGGAGAATCGCCGGGGACTCCGGCACCAGCGGCGGTGGGCGGTGGAACAGCGGACGCGGCACCCGCCCAACCGCCTACTCTGCAGAAGAGGGTAAGTGGCAACACCATTTTTTGGTCGTGTCTCGTTGTTGTTCGGCCTCCTTTTTTTTCGGGGTGTGCCGCTGTTGTCGGGGCTCGAAGTGCAATTGTTGTTTTCTGTTTCGACGCTTGATGCGAGTTGTCCTCACCTCCACGGATTTGTCCCGCGTATGCCCGGTGTGCCAGAGCTCTTGTGAGTACGGCGGTACAAGTATTGCCCTTCTCATGAGGCTGAAGTGGTATTGCAAAACACGCGCACACATCCTGTGTCATTGAATGGTTTACGTACTTTCGAAACAAGAACGATGACATGCTTTCCAGGAGTCACTGCCGTGGGAGGCCGCCACCCGAACGCCGAAAGTACGCGAGAAGACGAGGAATATTTCCTCAAGTACATTGGGGCGGAAGCTTGCAGGGCGGAAGCTTGCTGACGTTTATCTCTCTATGAGGAAAAGGGTGGTGCCCCGTCGCGATACGTGGCCAATGGTGCAGAGTCTCACGGCATGTGATACTATAGTAAATGTCAGTACCCGTTCTTGTCTCGCGATGTTTTTTTTCGTGTCTTGAGCAGGGCTCTAGGAGGCTAGGCTGGGGCATGGGTATCGGGTCCAAGCTGTCGGCGGACGAGAAGGCCACCGAAGCGGCAGCAGCGCTAGCGGCCGAAAAGGCGGCAGCGGAGAAGGCGGAGGCCGACAAGGCCGCTGCTGCAAAGAAGGCGGAGGAGGAGGCTGCTGCTGCAAAGAAGGCGGCGGCGGCGGCCCCACCGAAGGCGCTAGAGGTTGCTTCTGCCGACCAGAGCAACGCAACGGTTGAGGTCGGCGATGCTGCCACCGCCGGTGCTGTGCAAGACGGCGCTGTTGAAAAGTCTGCTTCTGCAAAAAAGCCTGCCACTGCTTCTGCTGCTGGGGAAGAAGACTCGAGTGCCAGAGGCGCATCCGCCGATGGCGCCGCTGCTGCGTCTTTGCCACCCTCGTCTTCCAGCAGCGCAGTTGATCAAACGGCAGCGGCAAACCCGCCAGCGCCGGTGGCGACGGGAGCACCGCCGAAGACGCCCGGCGAAGGAGCGGGCCGGCGGAAGAAGGAAGGCAGCGCGGCGCCGGCGAGTGCGGGTAGTGCTGGAAGATTGAAGCGGAGGCCGCCGCAGCAGCCGCGAGTCGAAGACGTTGCCAGCGGTGGAAGTAAGGGAACAGCAACATCGCCCGCCTTGTCGCCCCCCGCGGCAGGTGTCTCTCCGCGGACGATATCGTCGTCAACGCCGCCCTCGGCTGATGCCACCACCGGCGGCGCTCGAAAGGCCATGAAAGAGTTCGGCAACACTGCGAACAGTGCTGTCGACGGCGGCGGCGGCGGCGGCGGCGGCGGCGGCGGTGGCGGTGGCGGCGGTAGCAGACGGCGGGAAAGAGGCAGTGGGGAGATAAGGGTGGGGGGGAAGGAGCAACAACGGATGAAGCGAGCGGGCTCTGATTCCGGCAAGAAGGTCAAGGAAGGGTTGGCGCCAGGGCCGCAGAAGCGTCCGTCGAGCGATGGGATCGTGGAGGGCTCCCCGAACAAGACCGGTCAGTGTATGTGTGTGTCTAGTGTGTTAGGATCGACCGCTCTTGATCATTTATATTTGTATGGAATGACATGCCGACCGGAGGCATGGCATTGTTTCGATCCCATCGCTGCTGATGTGGGGCATCCAAGTCTCGTCCAACGCCAGGACAGTTGCGTCTACCCAGTCTGGGTTTACTGTTTGCTCAACGTGAATCGGGTAAGCATCTGGCCACCCGCCAGACAAGTTGCGGAGGTCCTAGTTGTTGATCGTCCCTTGACAGTGGGACGGGAAACGGAAGCTGGGAGAAATGGTTGCAGCTCTTCTCGAATACCATCGGCACGAAGACAAGGATAATTTCCCCGACCCCTTGCGCCTCAAAGCAGTGGTGCCCAGACCATTCCATTCTAGACTACTGAACGCTCGAACCAACCGGTTAAGAGCGGTGAACGTTTCTTCTCACCAATCATCTCTTGTGTGTTTTGTGTGTAACGGCCCATGCGTCGTTTCGTTTCGTTTGTTATTGTTCAATAGGAACAACAGCACAAGCAACAGCGGCAGCAGCAGCAGGTGGATCTCCGAAAAACCCGCAGCCTCCGGCACCGTGCCCGCGGAAGCGCGAAAACGACGGCCCCGCCGCCGCCGCCTCGGCCCCCGCCACCGCTGCGGCCGCCGCCGGTGGGTCCTCGAAAGATCAGCGCCGGAGAGAACGGGAGCGGCTGATGTACATGTCGGAGCGGCGCAACAAGAAGAGCGGAGGGGGGGGCGGCGCTGGGGGCAGCGAGGACCATGCGATGGTCGACGTCGATCTGAAGCTGGTGGGGGAGGAACCTGCGAGGCGTGGAGGGGATGGCACGGTTTCAGCACCAAACGGCGGTCACCACGGCAGGGAAAAACGCCCCCGTCGTAGCGCCGATGCCGCGGATTCGGCAGTGAAGACACCCGAGGTGCCGCCGGTGGCCCCCACCTCGAAGGAGGGGCAACCGAAGGCTGCAGATGGCGGTAGCGCTCCGACGACAGCAGCGGCCGCAGCGGCCGCCGGCGGAGCAGGAGCAGGCGCAGCAGGCGGCGGCCGCTCGAAAGAGACGAGCAACGCAGCAGCGCGGCAGTGCCACCCATCGAGGAAGGAGCTCCGGCGACTCACGTCCGGAACAGAGGTCGAGGAGCGGCGGACGCTTGCCGCCCTGCGCGACCTAGAGGCTTGTCTGGAGGAAGGCAGGATAGCTGCTGCTACTGCCGCAAGTACACCGGTGGCAGAGGCGGAGAAGGCTCCAGTCGTCGCCGACGCGAGCGCGTCACAAGCAAAGAGCAGCGGGGAAGCGAACAACCCCGGCACGGAGAAGACCATCGCTAGCAGAAGCAGCGCCAACAACGACGGCGGAACCCTCACGCCTGCCGTCGCGGCCGCCGCAGCGGCCGCCGTTGCTGCCCTCCCAGCGGAGCTTGCGACGGCGTTGGGGCTCGCGGAAGGCGACGGCAAGCGGAGTGAAGGCGGCGGCAGCGACCAGCCGGCGGTCGCCGGCGGCGACCGTGTCGGGGTGGACCACGAGGGCAGGAATGGCTTCTCTCCTCCGCACGTGGACCTCGTCCGGCAAGCGAGAGCGTCCGTGGAGTTCCGTGTGGCTCGCCGGAGGTACAAGGGAGAGCTGGAGAACGCAGCTGCTGCCGCGGCCGCGCTTGCCTGCGGCGGTACCCCAGACCCTCCTGTAGGGAAAGCGGCGGGGGCAGCGGTGGCGGTGGCGGCGGCGGCGGCGGCGGCGACACGTAGTGAGCATGGCGGGCCAGACGAATCATCAGCCAAAGGTCTTCCCGGACCGTCTCAGTCACCGCCTGGCGTCGTGACGACTGAACGCGCGGGGGCATCACCCGGCTCCAAAGCCGCGGCCGCTTCCGCTCCCGCCAGGAAAGGGCCGAGCGGCCTCCGCACTCGGGTGCCCACCGGCGCGCCGGTGTCCCACCTCTTCCGCGCCCGGGTGGACGCGGCGCCGGGGGGGGTCCCCAAGTCCGGCCGCGACGTGGCGATCGCCAGGGTCATGCGGGAGAACCAGGCGAGAGCGGTCGCGGCGCAAGCCGAGTTAGATGGGCGACTGCTGCGGCTGCCGCGGAACACGCCGCCATCATTGTCGGGTGAAGCAGCAGCAGCAGCAGCAGCAGCGCAAGCTTCGGCCCCTGGGACGGCAGCAGCGGCGGCGGCGGCGGGAGCAACGGCCGCGGCGGCGGCGTGGAGCACGTCAGAGATCCACGCGGCACGCCTTCGGGAGCTGAAGCCCGTGATGACCCGGGCTATCCGGCGGCGGCGCCTGGAGCTACGGCGGCGCTGGGAGAAGCTCGGCGACCAGTACGCGGGCCTCCACAACGCCTGGCACGTCGACATGCTCCGCTGGGAGGAGAAGATGGAGGAGGAGGAGGCCAAGGAAGCCGCCGCCGCGTCCGGCGGCGCCGGAGAGGGCGACGACGGGGACGCGGCGTGGGGCCCAAGCGGCGGTGGCGGCGGCGGTGGCGGCAGCGGCGGCGGCATAGGAGGAGGAGGCCACGGCGCCAGTCTCAGGAGCGAGCGCAGGGGGGGGCGGCGGCTTAGCGACGTGGTCCGCTCGGACTACGAAGAGGCCGAGGTGGTGAAGAAGTTCGAGGACAAGCACAAGGAGGAGGAGCGCATCCGCAAGGGGGCCGTGGAGGTGCCGTCCATGCTGACCGCGGTGGAGCGGCGGCAGCTGCCGGAGTACCGAGATTCGTGGAACTCGAGGGGCACGACGGACGGGCTCCCGGCGAGGTGCCGCGGTCTCCCCGCGGACGCGGCGTGCCCGGCCGGGTGCAACTGCCCCGCGGCGGTCGAGGCCGAGCGGAAGCTGTCAAACCTCTGGACGGACGTGGAGAAGTGCATCTTCCTGGACAAGTTCCTGCACCACCCGAAGAACTTCATGCGGATAGCCTCGTTCCTGCCCAGGAAGTCGCCCGAGGACGTGGTTCAGTTCTACTACGACAGCAAGACGTCCATCGATTATAAGACCCTGCTGAAGGAGGCCGTCAACCGCAACAAGGTCAGTCGACCATCCCCCTCTTCTGCGGTGGCTGTTTTTTTGTGTTAGTTGGTGGTTGTTGCTGCTCTGACTTATTTTGGATTCTATGGCCGAATTTTTTTTATTGTTTTATGGTGGTGTGGTGGTCATGTGCTGCTGCTCCGTGTTGAGGATGCTGAGAGGTAAATCGTCTTTCCCCCGCCGTTTTTTGCTCTTGGCGGGGCGATGTTGCAGTCCCTCTCCAAAATAGGCTGTGAGCGGTTGCTTGAGGCTTGCGAATCGCCTGCAGCGCGCGTGAAGTTAGTGTCGCCGGAAAAGGAATCGAACGTGCACACAGGAATATAACCATGACGCCGCCCTCACGAGTACCATCAAGCAAGCGTCGCCGCGGTTGGTGTTGTTCAACGGGTCCGTGGGCCATGGCTGCCGTTGCTCTCCTTCTGGTATGGTACTACCCCGTTCACCCACACACACGGATCCCTTTGGAGACATTTTCTGTGTTCCAACCGCGCTGAGACTGACGTCTTTTCATTTGTCAGCCGGTGAGACTGACGTCTTGTCATTGGTCCGCCGGTAAGCGCGTTCGAATTATAAAACAAGCACACGACGTTACCGCACCCTCCAAACCCAGGGCTACGCCGGGCAGTGGAACGCCACCTTCAAGGCGATCCGCAGCGTCGGCGCCAAGGTGTCCATCGACGAGGACGGCCAACCTTTCTTCCCGGTGCCTCAGCGGGACGACTCCTTCGCGACGGCCGACATGCACCCGCCCTCGAGGACACGCCCGCTGCTCGACATCCAGCGCGAGGCCCTGTCCCTTGCGTGCTCCGAGGAGATCGTTGGGGCGACCGCGGCGGCGGCCAAGACGCAGGTCTCCGAGACGCTGCGGCGCCGTACCGCGGCGGCGGCAGGTATCCCGCAACAACACCACGAGTCGCCGACGACAGAGAGCTTGGACCTGCTGAGCCCCGCGGAGGTGCAAGCCGCGGCCGCCCGCCTGCCGCCGGCGGCGATCAACGTGGCGGCTTACCGCCTGTGCATGCGGTCGTTCCCGCCGCCCGACAACGGCGACGGCGACGGCGACCGAGGCGTCATCTACGCCGCCCGGGATGTCGCCACGGCCGCTGGCGGGGCGGGGTCCGGAGCCGGGAGGTTCGACGAGGGTGCGATCATGCCGTACCGGTTCTCGGACGCCAGGGTTACCGGGGTTCCCGATGAGCTGGCGCCGCCACGCTCGGCTTCTGCGGCCGCGGCGGCGGCGGCGGCGGCGGCGGCAGGGGGCGTCGCCGGGGATGACGTTGACGCTCCTTACGAACCCGATCGTTTCGGCGGCGGCGGCGGCGTCCGCGCTCTGCACGATGGCGGCAGAGGGGGCAGAGGAGGGAGGAGGATGGGCGGGCCGGGGTCGCAATCATCATCGGCGTATCTGGCGGCGGCGGCAGCACGGGCCGTCGGGGAGGAGGCCAACGACAACGACGACGACGAGTACGGGGATGCCCTGGGCGGGGCGGGGCGGGGGTTGGGTCGGAGGGGCGGGATGTCACCGGGAGGGGAAGGAGGGGGCGGCAGGGCGGGTAAGGGGAAGCGGGGGCTGCCCAGGAGGAAGTCCGCGGCCGGCGGGCAGGAGGACGGGGGGGGCGGGGGGAGCACGCCGGGGTCGGCCGCCGGGGCGCAGCAGAGGCCGCCCTCCACCAAGGGGGCCAAGTGGACGGTGGAGGAGAGGGAGGCGTTCTTTAGCATCCACGACGCGCGGCCTGGGAACAAGGAGTGGGAGCGGTACGCCGAGCTGATCCACACCAAGACGCCCACGCAGGTCAAGACCTTCTACACGAACTCGAAGAACAAGAACCTGCTCGAGGCTGAGGCGATCACAGTCCGGAAGGACAACCTTAATCGAAGGGACAGGCAGACGGCCGAGGTCTCGGCGATTGCCGCGGCGGCCTCCGCGGCTCAGCAGCAGCACCAGCAACAGCTGCAGCAGCAACAGCAAGCGAGGGAGGCGGACGCTTTGTACCAGATGCACATGGCCAGGCAGCAGCAACAACAGCCGCAACAGCAGCAGCAAGACGTGCATGGCCCAGACATGCGGCGGATGTCCTCCGAAGCTCTGCACAGGATGCCGTACGGGCACATGAGCATGGTGCACATGCCGGGAGCGTCGCAGTACGGTAGTGCCGGTGGCGGCGGCGGCGGCAGTGGCGGGAACAGCGGTAGCGGAGGCGGGGGCGGGGGTGGAGGGGGGGGCTTCGGAGCGGCGGCGGCGGCGGCAGCTGCGGCCGCCGCCGTGCATGGAGGGCCATGGGCGAACTTCATGCCCCCCCACCAGCGACAGCAACACGCGTCCCCTCATC